TCTTTTCTTTGTCCAATTTCTTCCTTTCCTTCTTTTCACTTGGGATCTTGACTTTCTTGACTTTAGGCACTTTTGGAATTTTCTGAAAAAAAAAAGAAAAAAAAAAAAAAGGATCTCCATCAATCACAAGAAATGTCTGTGCCATCTTGGAGGAATAAGATTTTTTTCCCCACACTTATGAAATCACAATTTTTTCTTTCCTTTTTTTTTTAAAATTCAAATAATAAGTATAAAAGTTTCCATCTTTTTCTTTCACATCCATCACTTTTGACATTACAGATCATAAACCCAGTGTATGGCCTAGCTTCTAATTGAGTTCTCTATAAGGCTCAGCAGTAGAGTAGCACCAAATTAATTACTACCTTGGGAGATTTAAGCTTAACCTTCTTAGCTTTCTTAAAGTCCTCTTCATCACTGAAATTCAAAGCACAACAACATTAGTATTCATGTTGCACTGTACTACCAACCACCAAACACAGGTCAACAAATCCGTGGCTTTTATTGAAAATCTTGTTGCCAAATTTTTCCTTCTTGCCACAAAGGTCAAAATGGTCATAACTTGGACCATTATGACTGACATCAAACACACCACACTTTACAGCTAGATATGTACCTTTCACCTCCTGGGGACACAGGTCTGAAGTTCAGTGTACCCTGGTTGATGTAGAAGCCACCATGCTCTGTTGTCCAATCAGCTGGTAGCAGCTCATCATACTAAAAAATGAACAAGACAAATTAAAAATCTACAGCTCTTCAAAAATCTGAGAACAGTAAAATCACATGGATTGTGCATATTTAGAGAAACTAATCAGTGCCATCCAAAAAGCCCTGATCTTTATCTACAGCTCTATTGTCCAACAAACTCTTGTAGGTAGTTAAAAAGCTTTATTTAAAAAATGATGAAAAAAGCACAGTGATATACAATGTACCAGTTCCTGGAGTGCATATACTCAAAAGTAGATCTGATAATTCTTCAGATGTGCATTTACTATAGGGTACCCTTAACTCCTGTGAGCAACCAAAACAGAACTTCTCTTTCTACTGTCAATACAATATCAAGTGGACAAGTGATGAGAATAAAGAAATGCCAATTACAGGATTATTAGAAGACCCACTACTAAATTCTCTGAACTAACATCAGAAGAACTAAATAATTGAGATCTGGTAACAAAAGGGTTGACAGATGTAGATGAAAGTAAATCGTTTGAGTCCAGAGCTAAAACTTGATCATTAAGTCTAACTACGTGAGTGAAAGTTGTCCTGGAAAGTGCTATTAACAATGACAAAAGCTGATGCTTTGACCTATGAAGAAATCTTTCTCAATGAACACTGATGACTTCTACTGGTGTTTTCATGAAATAAGTCACTGTCTGTAACTGTAGTTCTTTTTAAGAATACTCACACTTGATCAAACATACCACAAGATCAGAATTATAACAATAAGCAAGGGTAACAACACACTGTAACAATCCCATTTTAAGCAAAATATCCAAAAGTTCCAAGAGTCACTCACAGCCTCACTATCATCAACAAAAGGGTCTGTCTCATCATAGCCATAAGTGACATCAATCAAATCCTATAAAACAAAGACAATGAAAACATCATGAGAAGAACATTAACAGGGTCCTGGAGTTCCAATGATCTGGTAATTTAAAGCAACAACTGGCTCTTTATTTATTCTAGATCTGGTACAAATACATTCAGGGTTGTTTTATTAAGATTTTTAGTAACTAGACTGTGATACAAGGTAATCAGCACTTCATGGTTTTATTTCCATTAATGACAAGCTTTCAAGCTGAAAAATTGAGCTCAGAGTAGACAGTGAAATGCCACTGTTACCAGCATATTTTGACAACCCTAGTATTTAAAGCAGCTATACCATGCTTATTTGAAGTGTCTTTAAGGGATGGGGGGGAGGGGGGGGGGGGTGTCATTTAAAATGTGATCCTTGCTTGAAGTAAACCTTTCTTTAATTGTTTACCATGGCAGAATTAGACCAAAACGTAAAAATCAACTTGAACCACCAAAGGGGTGAAAAAGGAGTGTGTGAATAACATCATGCACTAGAAAAATATTTGCAATGTCATGTTATTTCCCATTGCACATTCCAATCCGTATGGGAGTTTATTAGTGTCAGATCTAGAGCAAGATTGTACGATTGGTGTAGTTTGAAAGTAGTTGTCTCTATTGGTCTAGAGAGGAAAATTGTAGTACTCTTAAGAAGCACTGATGGTATACATTTCTGTTCACTATCTACATCTGAATCATCTGCTACTTTAATTAGTCAAAGCAGTGAAATAACTGTCATGATCTGAAATCAATCTTAATCTTTGCCTGCTAGCACTGGCTATTAGAAAATCCCAAGAGATCACTTGAGAACTGTGCTGTTCCCTAACACCTGAAGACCTGCTAAGAATTTGACAAAATACAGAGACCACCAGCACACTAACCAAGGGTACTGAGACTCCCGATATAAAATAACTGACACGGAAATTAACGATGTGGACAGCACTGACATGATCAGTAACAATTAAGGGGTTGACTTCAATGAAATTACATCACATCAAGAGGTAGTAGCAAAGAGAGTTACCAGTTGATTCACAACACAGAAATAGAATCAACTCAAGCTGTGCAAGTCACATTTGGTCTGATTTCGGAGTGACCCTTTGATTAAGTCAATTTATAAGAACACAAAAGCTATGCACCTTGTATGTGGTTGCAAAGAAGAGAGTTGCATTACAACACAAGTTAAATAACTATGTATTTTTAAAAATGGTACCAAATAGTCAGGGTTGATAATTGATATTGTTGAATATCGTAACAAGATGAACGAAAATGAAACCTATAGCAGAGAATGAACGTTCTCGCGGTTCTTATTCCATCGATCAGATTGTTAAATAAAGTAACCGGAAACAGAATTTAGGAACCCTTCACTATTTCCTGTTCGATAGAAATCAACTGCGATCTTAGAGTTCGATTAAAAGAAAAATAAAAACCTGCAAATATTGAGACTTAAATTTGTCATTACATTCAATATAGGTAAGATCCACGATTTAATGGGAAAAATCTTCACGCACAAGCAACAATCTCGATTTTAGCCGGTAGCGTGTTTAACAGAAGCGAACAACTTTGTAAATAACGCTAAACTCTCGCGACGTATTAATATCACAAATTAACTGCACATTATGACTGGTATACAAGAAAATACAATAAAGAAATCATGCTTTTAAGGATTTCAATGTTCCCTAAACAAAAGAGTTGAAGTCAAAAACGTTTTAAGATCTTCGAAAAGGCAATTGGAACAAAAACAAGGTCATGTCGAACAGACAATAAATAAGTAGAGTAGCGTAAGCGCTACTCAAAACAAGTGGTTCGAATTATTTTGATTTTACGTCCACGACTGTCGTATCATTACGCCCTCAAAACACACTGGTTTAGCCCAATAAAAAACCCTCTAAAGTCACAAGCAATTAGTGTCGTTTTAATCTTTGTAGCAGCGCAAATGAAATACACACGAACTAACGAGTGAAATTGCAAAGGAGCGTAACTCTTAAGGTAGTGCACAAACGTACGAAACAACACACTACATCAATGAGCAGATAACACGAATTTTGATTTACCTCCACTCGATCTTTTCTACGCTTCTTTGGTTTAGGGGCCTGTTGAAAAAAAAAAAAAAGCAACGCGTTTCAGGACTACGGTCCAAAACACTAGAAGGACATAACATCACGCATTACATTTTGCACGGCTTCACAGAACTGCGGTTTCTAAGGAATCTAACGTACTAGTCAAACATAAATTTTCACCTCACCAAGCTGCAAAACTTACATATTTCTCCTCAAACTTTTTAGCCAAAGCTTTGAGTTTTTCGTCTTCTTTTCCCTCATCGTCCCACGGAGTTTTCTCCGGGGTATTATTGATCTGCGCAAGAACGAAAAAAAATCCCGCGAATTAAAAATCAGTATCATGTACTCCGGCGACAAAAACAGCAATGCATCGACGTGACTCGCTGATAAAATGGCTTCAGCTCTTAAGAGGAGACTTCGTACACTAAAGTATTACCCACCGTAGCGGCCTTTACAAGGTCCAGAAACGAAAACTCCGGGCACTTTTTCTCGTCGCTTTCCGTAAGGGAAAGCTCGAAGCGTAGAGTCTTGATGTTTTCTGGATTTTTCCCGAGTGCATCCACTCTTTCCGAAGGAAACGGGTTAGCTTTTTCCATATTCCATCAAGAGAAAACCGAAAACACGGTCCACCTCACCGGACCCTTTGTTAAACCCCATAGAGGCAAACCTTATCCATCTTGAACTTGCCCGCTTCTCGCACCAAAATTCAACACTTTACACTACTGCGCATGCTCAGTGGCCAACTGCGCAGTCGCAGTGCGATTTTTGGTGGCACTGGCTTCGAAGTTTCTCTCTCGGTGGAAATTTCAGAGAATCTACAACAAATCGAGCAATCTTCCAAAATTCGATTTTTGCCTCGGAATGGGCTGAAAACGCAGAGAACGTGCCTAAAATGACCCAAATGTGAAGAAAACGCGAAAAAAATTGTTTGGATAAATTTTAAAATTACGGTTTTCTGTTCCCCTTAACTGTCTAAAATCCCAAAATGTGATCCTTTTTATGTCCAAAATGGCGAGATATTCGAAAACGTGTACGAATCAGGCCGCTACGCCCCACCCGACGCTCAAGAACGCACATGTTTCCACAGAATCGCCAGCTTAACTACATTATGCAAAGCCCCCATTGTTTGCCCCTGATCAATTTTTCAGCGCTACATGTACCTGATACGCGCTTATGCTTGCGTGAAAAAAGCGCTTTTGTTGGCTGATCGCGGTTGAAAATGACAGATGCTATACCAACCCATCACTGTAATTGGACGCATTGCTGACTATATTTACAGCTCAACAGAACAATATTGCGTGAAATTCACAACTCACTTCCGGTTTCATTATATTTCCGCTGACAAATCGCAGGCTAATCTGCGCGTGACACCACTAAACATGGCGAAAAGTTAGCTCGGTAATGGCGGTGAACTTCTAAAATTTTTGTGATCAAGGAGCCGCGAGTCTTCTTGGTTTGGGACTTTTCTGACAACCTCAAAATGCCATTTTCTTTGCACAGTCACAGTGGGCAGTTCTGTAAGCATGCTTTCTGTACTTTAGAAGAGGTCGTACAAAGAGCAATCGAAGTTGGTTTCACTCACTACGGGCTTTCAGAGCATATGCCAAGATACGAAGCCGAAGATCTGTACGATGAAGAAATTGAGGTGAGTAGTGCTTCGGTCTAGAATTTAAATAGCTTTGAAATGCAGGAAACGTAAAACGAAAAAGGTATGCTCTTTCGTTTTATCGAATTCAAGCTTATGTAACTTAAAGATTTAGAAAGTTTAATTCCAGAATGAAACAAATAGAAATAGTTTTTCTGTCTGAGTTTACGACAACAATGCATTCTATGACACCAGCTATCTCGAAGGCCACATATTATTGCTTTACTGCAACCTTTTCCAAAGGAATATTCTCAGGATTCGAAAAAATGCTCCCAAATAGGGGTTTCATGTAGAAGTAACACGTTAAAAAAAGTTATTGGTAATTGTGAAGAACAATTGGAAAAACCTGTCAACTAACATTTGGCATATGGTCAGCACGCAGTTGGCCAACAGACGGTCAACAGTTGACCAACATACAGGCCACAGTTGGCTGACAGTGGACGATAGACAGCTGAAAGTGGCCGACAGAGCAGGCAGTTGTCCAACAGTCAGCCAACTGTCAGCCCACAGTTTTAAGCTGACCTGTTAGTGCTGTAATCAGTCTGCCATATTGGAAAGGTTATTTAGACCCCAGTTTCATGCTCACTGAAGCAACTTGTGTATGAATGAATTATTGTATTATTGTGCATTATTATGATAAATTAGGATGGCGAAGACAGGGTTGATCAATTTAATTGCAAGTATAATTACAGACCAAATTGGATGACATGAAGTCCTGTTACCAATTAATCAAAACTATGACTATGACAAAATTTGAGAAAGAAACTAGACATCTATAATATGTTTCCAGTGTGTCAACTATCCAATTAAAGTGTCCAATAACCAATTTAATTCAAGAATTTTGTTGTAATTTTGATTAGGGTTGAACTCAGATTCCCTTAGTCAATAAAATTTTCATTTTTTCCTTTTGTTTAATAAGGGACCTGTACACTTTTAAGAAATAGATTGAATTGGGAAATGGAATATTTTGTGGAAATGGTAAAACTGAAAATTATATATCAGTAAAATAATGGCTCTTGTCATTTTTATAGGAAAATTTGACACCTGCTGATCTTCAGAATATGTTTAATGACTTTGTTAAGGAAGCCAGGCATCTTCAAGCAAAGTACAAAGACAAGATTTGTCTCCTTATTGGCTTAGAAACTGAGGTTATCAGAGAAGACAGTTTTGATCAGATAAGAACACTGAAAAAACAACATGAATTGGACTATATTGTCGGATCAGTTCATCATGTGGATGGAATTCCCATAGATTTCAGCAATGAACTGTTTGATAAAGCAGTGGAACAGGCAGGTGGAACAGAAGAAGTCATGTGTCAATACTTTGATCATCAGTATCAGCTAATAAAGGAGTTAAAACCTGAAGTTATTGGCCACTTTGATGTCATCAGGAAATATCGACCTGACATTGAATTTACAGATATCCTATGGGAAAAGATTGTTAGGAATGTAAGAGCAGGGATGTCTTATGGAGCTTTGTTTGAGATAAATTGCAGCGGTGCATCACCAACAAAGAAACTTAAATGTCCATACCCACATCCAAGGATTATTGAGGTGAGACAAGTGAAGTGAAACAGAAATTTCATTCTGCATCCTTAACCCTGTAACTCACATTCATAACCAAGACATAATTTCTCCTTACAATACCAATACCATATCAAGCAGATGAGTGATGAGAATAAAGAAAACAGCCTTTTGCTTTTTTTTGATCCAATAAAAAGCTGCACCTCGTTTGCCACTTGTTTTTCCTCTCCACGTTTTGATGTTATCTGTGATCTATTACTGAACAGATGCATGAAAACATGAAATCAATCTGTTAACTCTCTAACTCCCAGAAGTGATTAACATGAAACTTCTCCCTATAATACCAATACATTATTCAGGAAACAGGTTTTGAGAATATTAGAACTTGTCAGGTTGAGGCTGCTATCTTGATCTAGCACCAAGTTCTCATAACTAATTTGCAAGAGGGGAGAATTAACAATCAGATCTTGGGAGTTAAAGGTTTAAATGCAATATGCCCCACTGGCAATGGATAGAAAATGTATTTTTTAAAAAATGGAAACTTAGTGTGCAAAAATACCTGATAATCCAATTTTGAGTGAAAAAGAAATAATTTAGAGTGTCTACTTTTCACCCTCTTTGTCTGGCTATTGTTACAAGTGCATTCCCTGACTGCTTTTGCCAGCAGTTTTTCCTTGTCATAGCACACATTTTCAAATGGAATATGGTGTTGTGTCATGCATGTGAAAGCCATTTGCTCTGAAGAAGGCTAGTGAATGTGGGGCAGAAGTATGGGTGTAGGATCAAAACATTATTTTGCTCTCTATTTATGCTTACTGTGCATGAAATTGGAAAGAGAAATCATAGAATTATTGAAATGAGTTAATATGTGGTTCAATTAGGAATTATTCCTGTTCATCGCACTTAATTTACAATAATAACACCACTTGCAGTACCAATTCCACTTGCAATACAAAAATTATCTATAACAATAAGCTGATAACTACTGTAATATACTAACTTTTGATAAAAGACTAATCTTGACTCACAAGACTTTATAACCTTCTTACAATGCTTTCAAATTACTCTTACTTAAATGTACTGTTAGATAATTATATATATTTTTAATATTTTTACATAATCTTCAATAAACAATGCCTGTGAAAAACCTCTAACAACATAAGGACGCAAAACTTTACATACACAACTTGCCTTTCGATTCTTGCAGCTGCTCTCTGATGGATGATTAAACACACGTTTTCAATTTGTTCTCTGCTTGTATTGCGACTTATGTTAACTGTTAAGAACAGCTCCCCTCTACTGACTGTGGGCTAATTGTTAGCTGACAGATAACTGACAGGCCGCCAACATAACAAACAGCTTACCAACAGCTTACTTGTTGCCGTTTCTCCTATTTTTTTGACCAGCCACTGCCTCCAAAAGACCCCTTAAAGCAATTTTCCTCTTTTTCCCGTAGCTTTTAGTGGCATCTGGGGCTAAATTGACTCTGTCAGATGATTCACATGGAACAGGAGATGTTGGTTTCTGGTACAAAAACTTGCCCCAGCACTTAGCAACTTACAGGGTCAGTGAACTATACTATCTGGACAGAGCACAGGTGACCAATGACTCAGCAGGACAAGAAAAAAGAGTTGTGTCTAAAAAGTTAACAGACTGTTGGGAGCATCCATTTTGGGAAAAATGTGCAGAAACTGTAAAATATGACAAATGACAATTTGTATTTTGTTATATAATTTAATGTAATCTTTATCTAATTTTTTTTCTTGGGGAAAGGGGGGGGGAGGAAAGGTTTAAGAGTTAAACTCAGTGAAGACATAGTGCGCTTATTCTACTTAAAAAAATGATTCCATGTTGTGGTGCAACAGTTTAGTAACAGGTCACAGATGAGGTCAAAGCCTTGTGTAATGAGGGCTATTTGTGCATTTGTGTATTTATGTGTGTCACCCTCAAAGTTTTAATGACAACGTGCCTCATGGAGCTTTATTTATTGTTATCGTTTACTAAATATCCCCAAGCTCAAAGCAATATTTAAGCCCTAAAAGGGAGCATGTTTCATTTATGTGGAATTTAAGATATAAGTCAGCAGTTGTTTCTTTGCATTTTTATTCTATTTTCATTTTGACTTAGTCATACATCATTAAAAATGTTCAACAAAAATCTATTGTTATGAATTTTTTGCTCTTAAACAAAACTAGTTTTAAAGTTACTTCTATGTTTTTTAACAAAACCCAAACACTCCCCTCCCCTCCCCCTCCTATCCACTTGCAGTATTACTGTTATTGGGCTTGAAACGAAGACGAAGCCTTACGACATTTGCCCAGTCATTGCGAAGTCAAATTCGGTAAGTCTTCGTACTGGCCGAAAGATAACGATTCTACGGACGGTATAAAGGAAATAGGAAAACTCGGGGAGGAGGAGACATGGTCGAGGAAAAATTTGAAAAGAAGGGGTGAAATAGTACATTCAATTTTTCTTCCTCGTTATCTACAATTTACGTGTTCAAAGAAACCGTCGTGCGACCTGAAAAATAATTGTCCTCATTTATGAACACTCTGAGAAACCGTAGTAAAGTTTCTGTTGGCCAATGTAATACGTAGTAACAAGAACAGACTAGGAAAGATGGGCGAGAGTTGTATATGCGTGCGTAGAAGCGGGCACGGGCGAGAAAAGAGCACCTGTCCCTTTTTATCGGACATAAGACGCTCGTATAAATCCTCGCTCCTTTTTCTTAGAATGAGTGTCAAAAGTAATCGTGGCTTAACCCTTTAGACCCTAATATCAGTATGCATATTCTCCATACTGTTCTCGATACATTTCTTTAGGTGCTGACAAGGAGAATTTGTTAAACAATCAAGAGCTTCAATTGTTGATCATTTCTTTTATTCTCGTGACTTTAACGAGTGATTCAGGGCTGATATTGTAGGGAGAAATTAGATGCCAGTCACTCTTAGGAGGAAAAGGGTTAACCACGATTGCATTCGTTACGTTTTTCTTCACCTCGCTTCGCTATTGGTCCAGAAAACTCATTCCACACTCGCAACCAATCAGGTCGCACGCGTTTTCCCGCGCTTCATAAACCTGTGGGGGCCGTTTTGATTACTTTAGTTATAGTAATACGAAAAACACTTCATTGCTTAAGAAGACCGTGCCTCATCACTCTTCTAAGTTAGCTGTCAAGGCTTCCAATGATGTTTACCTAAACGTTTGAGAAAAAATTTATTCCTGTACTGCAAAAGTCTTCTATGTTTCTTTTTACAATAAATCGGGTCGTATTCCACCCTCAGTATCTGCGTGCTCCTCAGCACCACCGGGCGTATTCTCGTATACTGGCTCCTCAGGCCTTTTTGGCCCGACGGTTTCATATAAGTTTTCTGTTTGCGGTCCATTCATATTCACGTACGTGTTGCTGCCATTAAGAACATCCTTAGGTCTTTTATAGAAGTCCTCCATCGCTACTTCTTTGGGTGTTTTATAATGACCCTCGTCCAGAGAAGCCTGAGCCTGAGACCTCTCACACGTGGCTTGGCGCGCGGCGTTGATTTGATCTTGAGTGACATAACGATCTTCATCATCACTTTTGCCATTGGGCGCGCATCCAATTTTTGTCAGAGATCCAATACTGTCGTACAATCCCGCAGATGCCCCGTCGTCGAGTTTACTCTGCTCCGAATTCAAATCAACCCGCAAAGGATCGCATTTTTCTGAATAACCGGAAGCCACCAAAGGGACATTTTCCGTGTCTGTGCTCGGTACTGTTCCATTTGGTTGCTCTACAAGAATTTCAGGTTGATCTGGTTCATCTGAAGTAGATAACAGCCCCTCGGTCATGGAGTCTCCACCGAGGGTGGATGCCGCGGAAGGAGACTCATATCGGACGCTGTACGCCCCTCTTGTTACCATATCTCTCGACCGCCTTGGCTTGGCGCCATTTTGAAGCAGCTGTCTTCTTTTGCGTGAACGTTTCCGCGCTAAGGAGAAGACAATTACGAATATGATGACCAGGAGAATGGCGCCGCCCACAGGAGCACCAATTATGAGAATTTTGTTTAGCATGTTGTCCTTAGATGTTTTTCTTGCTGAAAATTAAGCAGTGGATAATATATTAATGATTTTTTACTGAAATGAAATTTGTTATAATATGGAACAGTGAACTCTGACGTAGACTTGTACATGTAAATAGAATGACCACAATGACCGTAAATATATGGAAATCATGTATGTGAACTTATTTTTAAAGAAAGAAAAAATATGTGTGAACTGTGGATTAAGAAATAATGAACACCAATGAAGCAATAGTGAAAAAATATATTTACAGTCATTGATTCACCTCTTGATGGATTTATTACGAACTAATATAATGACCAGCTCCCAGTTGGTTCGTCAGCTCAGTTGGTAGAGCGCTGCACCGGAATCACAGAGATCCTGGGTTCAAATCCCGTACAGGTCCGATTTTTTCGGGCCTTATTTTCACTATTACTTGAGTAGTGTTCATTAATACGAAGATCGCTTTCATATTTAGAATGACCTCAATCAGTGTTCGAACCTATATATAGAGTGCTTTTCGATTGAATGTCCTCAAACCAAAACAAAACCAATCAGAAGAAAGGAATTTACCCAATTGAGCCAAAGAGAAAAAGCAAACTGCCTAAAGCGCGGGAAAACGCGGGTGACTAAGTCGCGATTGAATTTCTTTTGCATTTGATAGGTTGAGAATGTGGTGCGAGGTTTTTGGACCAATCACAGCTGCAGAGTGAAGTAATGCAAAACTTAAGCAATCTAGGATTTCTTTCGACACAAAATTTCTCTAAATCGACATCTTACAAATTGGCTGCGGTCTGCAGCATTATCCTATAAACGACAGCTGTAACAAAACTGGCCTCTTCACACAAACGTACCTTGATCAAGTTTAGCAACCACTGGTGTGAACGGCTCAGACGGATGGCTTGTTGCAGCCTTCTCTGAGGAAAGTGTTGATTGAACAGTTGCTACAGTCCTTGATAAAGTCGGTTCTGTTTTCTTTGGCTCGGTGGAGAATACAACTGCGATAGAGATGTGCATGTTAGTCGATACCAAATTAGTTAGTTTTGAAACTAAGTAGAAGTATTATCCTTCGCTTCTCGCGAATTCAAAGCATGTTTGTGATGATTTTAAGAATTTAGGAAAAGAAGCAGAATTGAAATGAATGTTATCTTTTAGTCCATAATAATTTTCACTCTTTAGCTAGTCTTCTGGATAGTTTGTGGACTAAGTGACGTCATTAAAGTAGTAATTTCACCTCTTTCATCTAAATAGTCCAATAAGGATCTTACTCGTTCCTATTCTCCTTCTAACGCTTTCTTACCGCCCGCGTTATGAAAGCAA